CTGAGGCAACAGGGTTCTGGGTTAGCGGGGGACAGGGGTGAGGTGCACCAGCAGGCTGGGGGAGTCCAGGGCCAGTCTAGCAGGTGCGTGGGGTACCAGTGAGAGGCACTGGGAGGACTAGGGGAACCCAGCAGTCCTAGCCACCAGCAGGCTGGGGGAGTCCAGGGCTGGGTTAGCGGGGGACAGGGGTGAGGTGCACCAGCAGGCTGGGGGAGTCCAGGGCCAGTCTAGCAGGTGCGTGGGGTACCAGTGAGAGGCACTGGGAGGACTAGGGGAACCCAGCAGTCCTAGCAGGGACTGCAGACCAAGATCCCAGGGCTGGGTTAGCGGGGTACAGGAATGAGGTGCACCAGCAGGCTGGGGGAGTCCAGGGCCGGTCTAGCAGGTGTGTGGGGTGCCAGTGAGAGGCGCTGGGAGGACTAGAGGAACCCATCAGTGCTAGCAGGGACTGCAGACCAAGATCCCAGGGCCGGGCTGGCAGGAGCAATGGATTAGGAGTGGGGGGCACAAACAGGGAAGTGGGGCAGAGGCTCTGGGTCAGGAGTGAAGAGCACCAGCAGGCCTGCGGAGCCCACGACTGAGCTGGCAGGATCTCTAGCTTGGGATTGAGGGGTACCAGGAGAACCCAGGGCTGGGGTGGCAGGGAGTGATGGGCGTCAGCAGGGCTGGCTGAGGCATGGGATTGGGGGGCACCAGGAGTGCCGGTGGTCAGGGCTGGACTAACAGGAGTGAGGGGCACCAGCAGCTTTAGAGGTAGCCCAGGGCTGGACTAGCAGGGGGGGGTGGGTCAGGACTGAGGGGCACTGGCAGGGCTGGGTGTGTGCAGGGCTGGTCTGGCAGGAGCAACAGGAGGGACTGAGGGATATCAGGAGAGCCTAGGGTTGAGGTTACAGGGGCTACAAGTTGGAAGTGACAGATATCAGCAGGGCTGGACATCAGGGGAGAGATAGATTTGGAGGGCACGAGTAGGGTTGGGGGAGCCCAGGGCTGGGCTAGCAGGAGCTGCAGGTCGGGCCTGAGGGGCACTGGCAGGGCTGGGGAAGCCCAGGGCTCGGCTGGCAGAGGCTGAGGGTCGGGAGTGAGGGCTGGGGAGCCCATGGTCTGGATACCAGGAGGTGCAGATGAAGAAGGGGGGGCTCTGCCGTGCAGGGAAGAGGCCGGGCTGGGGTATCTGGAGGCTGAGATGAGAGGTGACCCAGAGCGGGGACAGCCCAGTCTGTGATTTGGGGCTGTGGGGACATCCCCTGAGTTACTTCTATGGGGACCGAATAATCTCCTCTCTGCAGCCCGACTGAACTTTTTTTTTTTTTGTCCTACGAGGATTTAATTGTCTCCTTTCTTTACTCCAATTAAAAAAAACGTTTGCAACTTAAAACTTTCTGAAGTCGAGCACAGATTTCCCCTTGTTAGACGAAACATCCTGAAATCACTTTGTGGCCCCCAGTCCTGGTGACAGCTCGGAGTTCAGATTGGTAATTTAGCCTGTGAATAGAGGTGGCTCCATGTTTGTGGGGCCCTCACTAGGGACGTGTGGCTATCCCTTTCCAGAGGAGACCAGCTCCTACATCTCACTCTGGAGATGGGGATGTTGGACATCCAGAAATGGAGACACCCACGATTCCTCCCATGCAAGTTAGGAAAGTGGCCAGCAAAATCTTCATCCAAATTAGTTGGAATTTGAGTGATTCTGTGAATGGGGAACCAGCTTAGTAAGACCATGAGCTAGGAGGTATGATAGCCCATCCACGACTGAGTTTGTTCCCCAACTCCCAGAATTCTAACCCTAACCCAACCCTTAAACCCAACTCTTTATACCCCAACTCTTTAACCATGAGCCTCAACCCAACTTCCAGCCACCAAAAGATGAACCAGCTCCTTGACCCCCACACCCAAATCATCCCCATTGCCCTACTATCCTAATCTCATCCGTCATCTTGGCTCTCCTAACCCTATTCTCTAATTCTCACCCTCAGCTTTGACCGTCTCTTCCAACCCAACCCTCTAACCACAATGTCCCAATCTTACCCCAAATCCTGACCATAGAAGACGCAGGCTGCCATCGTCTTGAGATGCGTAGACTTTTCCTTGTTATTTCTCTTTAAAGGACATAGTTTGATAGGTCTCTGACCTTCAATTTCTGGACCATTGTGTGACAAGTAAAAAATAACAATTCTATCCTTAACTATAACCCCAGTACTACCCCTAACCACCTCCCCATGACCCTAAGCCCACCAGGGCTCTGCATCACCAGTCAGGTATCAAGCATCCTTTCAGCACAACTATCATGTGTCTTGGTCAATTGACCCCTTGGGTTAGGAGTCCAGAGTCTCACTCACCCCTCTAGGAAATGGCAGGAGAAACGGGGGGAAAGTCAGTGGGTGAATGGTTTCAAAACTGGTAGAACTCCAAACAGAAAGGGTCAAAAATTGAACTGGAGTGTGGGAAGGTATTGGACCCTGAGCATTCGGCCATGGCATTTCATTCTTCCGTGGCATCTCACAGCACTTCATCTGAATCACTCACTCCTGTCCTACAGATAATATTAACTGTTATTCACACCCAAAGAGCTCTCATGGCCAAGTTGACTTGGAAAGTCCCGATCATTCCTGTGAAGGGTCCAGGGACTTCCCAGAATGCTTCATTGAGCAACAGACTTGATAATGAACCACTAGCGGGCTGATGATCTTAGCTATAAACTTAGGAGCCTAATGAGAGCATGACATTTATGAGTCCTACCCTGTTAACACTGCAAGTATAACATGTGCGCCTCTTCAGACAGATCTCTAAGAAATCAGTCGTTAGTGACATGATGCTCTTTGGAGACCCCTGTAATACCCTCAAATTTCACTTTTATGGTCAAAATCTTGGGTTGTTTCTAGCTGCAGAAGCTGAGATTTCTCCAAGGGGAATTTCTCTGCCACTTAAGCATTTAATTCCCTTTGGTTCCTCAGGAAAATGCCACCTCCAGTTACTGGTACAACCCTCCATTCTGTGAAATTGACCCTTTGTAGGGCTCAGTGCAACATCTGCACCAGGCATCGTTTGGTTCAAAGAGTAGAGGTTGAGACAAAGGACTCCTGGGTTCTCTACTCAGCTCTGGACTGACCTGCTGTGACCATGACCCTTCCTCTGTCTCTCTGCCTTGCTTTCCCCTCTGAGTATTTCCTTTCCTGCACATCCTAAGAGCATAGTAACACAGAGCATGGTGCGGGTTCAGTCGGGGCCACATCTCATGTTCTTTCCCTTTCTATTTCTGCAGTTAGTCCCGAAGCCCCGTCTGTCTTTCCCCTCACTTCCTGCTCCGCTGAAGCCACCAGCTCCCAGGTCACCTTTGGCTGCCTGGTCAAAGGCTATTTCCCTGAGCCAGTCTCTGTGGAGTGGAGCCCCAGCATCGGCTCCACGGGTGTGAAGACCTACCCCTCCATGAATCACACTTCTGGCGACCTCTACTCACTCAGCAGCCAAGCCACCGTCCCGGCCAGCAGCTGGGAATCCAACACCTATCGCTGCAACATCAAGCATGAACCCACCAACTCCAGCATCACCAAGGAAATCCCAAGTAGGTGCAGGGCAGCCGAGAGAGGGAAGTGGGAGGAGGTCACTGATGGAGTGATGACTGCAGGGAGATAGGCAGGGAGCCTGACCTCTACTCACTCAGCAGCCAAGCCACCGTCCCGGCCAGCAGCTGGGAATCCAACACCTATCGCTGCAACATCAAGCATGAACCCACCAACTCCAGCATCACCAAGGAAATCCCAAGTAGGTGCAGGGCAGCCGAGAGAGGGAAGTGGGAGGAGGTCACTGATGGAGTGATGACTGCAGGGAGATAGGCAGGGAGCCTGGATGG